ATGTCGTTCTTTGTGAAACAAATTCAGTTGATTTTCTTATTTGCATATCCTTCAACTGATGTTGCCAGGAATGGAAAACAGTCAAATATAATGAGCATCTATGCTAGATGGATGCCTGGCACTGCCTGAAGGCAGGCACTGGACCAGGTGGCCTTGGGCTGGGAGTCAAAGTCAGTGGCCAATAGCTCTCCAGCCCCAGACCCAAGGGGAACAGAGTTCCCTGGCAATGAAAGCAGGTCATTCTCTAGCTCTGCCCAGGGCCAGCATTTTTTCAACCTGCAAGTCTCAGTCAAATGTCATCTCGTCAGAGAGGCCCTCCCAGACCACCCATCTAAAGTAGCCCAAAGATCAAAAACCCAACTCAAGAGGCAGAGTACAGAGTTGAGAAGGAGCTTAGTGCTTGACAACACTGTTAAATCATCCACTTCCGTGCTTCTTGCAATATGAGATAATTAAATGTCTCTACGGGTCAAGCCATTCTTAGTCATACATCTTACTTGCACTTGAAATTACTCCAGCTGATACATGTTTCAGTTACCACATGTATTAGTCAGCTCAGGCTGCCATAACAAAGCACTATAGACTGGGTGGCTTAAACAACATAAATTTATTGTCTCACAGTTCTAAAGCCTGGAAGTCTGAGATCAAGGTGTCGACAGAGTTGGTTTCTTCTGAGAGTCATGTGAGGGAAGGATCTTCTCCAGGTCTCTCTCCATGGCTTATAGTTGGCTGTCTTCTCCCTGTGTGATCACACTGTCTTCTCTCTGTACGTGTCTGCGTCCAAATTTTCTCTTCTTATAAGGATTCTAGTCATATTGTGTTAGAGCCCACTCTAGTGACCTCATTTTAACTTAATTACCTTTTTAAAGACCCGATCTCCAAAAACATTCTGAGGTGCTGGAGGTTAGGACGCGAATTTTGCAGGGAAAACAATTCAGCTTATTAACACCACAGATCCAGAATTGTTTTCTGTCACATGAGGCTGGCTCCTGAGGATGGAAACAGAGACCAGGCCATGGAAACTGTGCCCTCTCCAGTCCCCCACCCCCACCCAATACACATACAGTAGGAATTGCTGGTGAGAGTCCCACATGACCCAGCCCAGTCCAGGGTGAGAGAAGACAGGAGTGAAAGCTCTTTTCCAGGAACCAAACCTTAACAGTCAGGAGAGAAAGTACACCAACAATGATAAAAATCATGGCAATAACCAGAGTGACCAGTACTCATTGCCTCCATGTAACAGGTACTGTGCTGGGAGCCTTGGAAATGCAGTTCATTGTCTATGACTAAGAGGCTGAGCTCAGAGCTGTTAATCACGTGCCCAGGGTCACACAGCTGGTGTGGCAGCCATGGGGGTGCTTCTGGGTCTCTGGCTTCAAGAGAGAGCCTGCCGTCGGGCCGGGAGAGAGCAGGGGCCTCCAGCTCAGTGCAGCACCTTCAGGCTCCACCTCCACTTCCCGGTCAAGGCCATGCACTTCCGGGGCAGCCCCCGCCAGGGACTGAGGTTGTACTAGCGCCCGGCTATTCCTGCCCAGCACGGGACTCCTCTGAGGGACACGATCTGCTCCGGATGTCCCTGTAGAGATGGCTGAGACTGTGTCACGTGTACATGTTGGTCTGAGGCTCTCCTGCCCAATCCTGCTCCCTCCACGTTTTATTTTTCATAGGACTTACCCTCCAGTAAACCTTTCCTACTCCCAAATCTCAGTGTCTGCTGCCCAGAGGACCCATGCTGGCACTGCTGGGGAGGGCAGACGAGGATTAAAACCATGGCCACCCCAAGGGACCCATCGTAACCTCTCCACCCACTGTTGAGTCTTGAAGGCAAAGGCCGGAGGGTTTCAAGAGAAGAGGTGGATATGAGCTCTATGAGCCCTGAAGTGCACAGCTGGTGGTCATTTTCACTTAGACTAATGGGTGTGTAGCCAAGGCACCCAGAGCCAATGGGGATGGGGGTTGGTGAAGGCATTGCCCCAAATCACCAGCTGGAGGTGACAAAGCCGAGGCCAGAGCCCCAGGTCTCTGAGCCCCATCCTAGCCCCACACACAGGTTTGGACCTTCTTCTGCCCAGCCAACTGACCCAGAGCTACAGCCTCAAGGTGTGTCTGAGGAGAGAGGAGGCTGGGAGCAGGGAAGACAAAAGCCTATCCCTGAGCTGCAGAGGCGGCAAGGACATTTGGAGGCCCTCCCCCAGGACCTTCTGATAATGGGGAACCACGTCACCCAGTAGCAGAACAGAGAGGCAGCAAGAGGTGGGGAATAAGAGGGATTTAGGCCCCTCCCTCTAAGCTGCATCGACTTTGCCAAGTGAGGTACCCCTCCTCATCTAAAGTGAGCAGAAAGCCTCCTTGTTGAAGGGGAATTGGGAGTCTTCAAAGAGGTGGTGTGCCAAAAGCCCCCGCTCTAGAGCCTGGGACTCCTGCCCTGGTCCATTCTGACCTGGGTGTTGGTCTCACCACATACTGATTGATGATTGGGGTGACCTAAGACCTCTCCAAAAAGGCTCTGGAAGACAGCTTATAGCCCCCACTATTTCCAAGGTTAATTCATTTTATGGCCAACAGGAGGAAAGTGTGGTTTAGTGGCTTGAAAAGTCTCCGATCCAACAGGCACAAAGTACAGCTGTTTATTTTCCAAGGGGATCCCAGGCAGAGTCCCTCTCTCCCCCCTCCTCCTTCCCTCCTCCCCTCGGCTGTTAGGGTCTGGATGACAGGAATATGACACGGCACAACAGGGTCTCTTCAAGGCTGCTAGAGACCCAGGTAAGGGCAAGGGGAGTCTTCCCATCCCGGCTCCCTCGTAGGAAAGTTCTCTTGCCAAGGCTTCAGGACTAGCCTGGGGCCCTCTAGGCAGAGGACAAGCTTGTCCCAAGGATGAATGGAGATCTGAGATCGCATGCCCATTCTCACCTTGGGTAGCCTCAGCATGATGCTCCCTAGCGCCCTAATGCCCACCAGCCTGCCTACCCTTTGGGGCAAGATTTCTGAGTTGGGCACCTACACTCAACGCTAGCCCTTCAGTGATCTCCACAGTGAAGACTACCCTCTGGATGTTCTCGCAGACAACCACAGCCACCTACTAGCACTGAGTATGAGCTATTAAAATGTGCGTGTGTGTTTGAATCATCATAGGCAGACAACATGGAGTAACACAAAGCAAAGACTTGGGAACCAGTCAGATCTGGTTCTGCTACTTCAAGTTATTACTGCCTGAGCCTTGGACTCCTCATCTGTAAAATGGGATAATAATGCATCCTAAGGCTGTCATGATTAGATGAGATAGTGCAGCAAAGCACTTAGTCCGCTGTCTGATCAGGACTCGATAGATTTATTAGTATTTATGAAGAGCAGGGAAACAGTGGGCACAGGACAGCCCCATAGATGGGAACAACCTGTTCCTCTTGACAATCTGCATTTCTGAACACTGACCTGACAGTGTGGTTCCCCTCCTGGAATTACTGATAAATTTGTATAAACAGAATGCCCTTTTATATACACCCTTGCATGTTCACATGTATGTTCTCATGTATTTGGGCATCTGCCTACATGCATACTGGAAATCACACTCATCTTATAGAAATGTCTTTGCAGATGTGTACTCTTGTACATTCAGACACATGGACCGATGGATACATGCTGTGCATGTTATACACACAGAGTCCTGTAGAAACATGTGCATATACACATAGGTACACATCCCTGCACATACACACACAGGGTCCCATGCTTCTGTCACACATGCAGGTACGGAGGAACAGGCTGAACAAACCCCAGAGCCAGGCCAGAGAGTATGGTCAACTCAGAGATTAGGGCCCAGAGGAAGGAGGGAAGAGCAGATCTTTTTAGCTGCTGAAGGACATCTTGAAGTAAAAACAGCCCAGCGCGGGCCTGCCAGGAGGGGTGCTGGGCAGCATGGTGGCCCTGATGCCTCGACACTTCTACCACCTCCCCACCCTCTGAATCCAGGTCTTCAGAGGGCTCACCTGTGGAGCCCAGATGCCTTGTGAAGGAACCACAGTGAAAGGGCAGGACACACCCTGCTTGCCCCCAGAGTCAGGGTTAGGGCAAGATGGCTGGAGAGCTGGAGGTGGAGGGACCCTTGCATTCCTGTCCCTGCTACTACCCATTTAGCCTGAAAGCCCTCCAAGATGCTCAGGGCATGGGTGCAGACACCTGCTCAGCACCATGCCTGGCTAACTGCTGTGGTCCTACTGTAGGGAGAGGACAGGAAGGAGAAGGAGAGGCCAGAACTCAGCAGGGGTTGAGAAAAGTGTTCAAACCTTGGCAAGCAGGAGCCTGGCTCGCAGGGGTCCCACCTAGGACAACCTGCTTAAGGAAAGGGAAATCAATATTAATGCTATGACTAACAAAACTGCATGTCATAAAATAAATGTGATCATTGAATTGTACATTTCAAACAGGTGAATTTTATTGTACATGAACTGTAACTCAATAAAGCTGTTTATATATCTATCATCTTCCAGTCCTCTTGTGTTGGGCACTCTGCAAGTTTTTAAAGTAGTTTATCTCATTAAATCCTCCCCCAAAACCCACTCTACATGTGAGGGAAGGTGTAGGGCCTGGTTCAAGGTCACCCAGCTGCTCGATGGTGGAGTTGGCTTTAGATCCCACTTAGCAAGACTGGCCGGCTGGGTCGTTCCTCCTTCCATTTATTCAGTCAACATTTAATCACTGAATCCAGATGTCTAGTACCGAACTGGGCCAGTGACTCCTGAACTCCAGCAGCCAGCAGCAACATCACCAGGAATGCTTATTAAAAGGCTGTTTTCAAGACCACTCCCAAGGTTCTGCCTCAGTGGGCGGCTGGCACCTGCTCTATGACCCTCTGCAAGTGTGGGGATCCTGGTAAGTCCAGGGATCCTGGTAAGTCCAGGGCTGGGGGTGGTGGGGAGTGGCTCCTGGGCTCCGAGCAGGACCAGGCTGAGTCACAATGCGTTTGTGCTCCGATATTAATAGAAACATAAAACCCCGGATCAGCCATTTCTTCCTCTCTGGACAAGCCTGAACGATACGGGCCGCTCTTCTATGATGCTGACCTCTGCCGCATATTAAACAAGAGGTAGGCAGGTCACATGGATACCTCATTAATTTCCATTCGGGTGTGGGGGTGGGGGTGGGGGGAACTATGACAGAAGGCTGAGTTTTTAGCGGCTCAGCGTTATCAAGGTTAGCTAGTGACCGTGGCGGAGGACAAGGGGGAGGGGCAAGGGTCCCCAGGGGCGGAGCCTCGGTGAAAGGATAAATTAACGCATCCTTTGTTTGCCTGTCAATAGGTGCTTCCAGGAGCTGGGGAACTTTGTTTGCTGAAAGCGCTTAAACAATCCCTCTGCAATCCTGTTTACACTCTTCATTTGCTCAGCAAACCTGCCCCTCGGAAATAGCTTTGGGGTGAACTCAGGCCCAGCTGCTGGTGGAGATTGCCACACTGCCTGTTCCACCCGCAGGGCTGCTCTGGGCTTGCACAAGCTGGGGCAGGGGCTCCAAATGCACACAATGCCCAATTGGATGCACACACACAAAAATAACACCCCATCTGACCTCATCGTGCTGGGCGAGTGAGAGTTAAACTTCCTAGTTCAAGTTCATGCCGTTTCTTTTAGCTACATGCATTCCTGACTTTTCAAAGGTCAGAGCCACTGCAGGACTGTCTCCTGCTCTCTTGCTCCCTCGCTCCCTCTCCCTCTTTGCTAGGCTGCAGGGGACTTCTGGCTATGCCTTAGGAATCTGCTGGTCTCTGGGGTGCAGGTGATGGGCCATCTTGCTTGCAAAAATCATACAGACCTGTTGGGGGGATGTAGGGGTGGGGAGGTAAAAGAGTTGGGAGGTGTCCCATCATCTGTTCACTGCACCTAATCCATGCAGGGGGCCCTGGTGCTGGTTCTCCACTCTGGGGCTGATGCGCAGAGGCCTGGCTATGGCCCCTGATGTCCCCCTCCCCCGTGGTGGTGGTTCTCAAGTTCTTGGCTATAGGGCTGATCCTTGGAAACTCCACCAGCCGGTCTCAGCTCTTTCCTGGTTCCCTTCGACACAGCTAGGATTCTAGGAGCCCAGGGTTGTTAGTCCACTTCCTTCTCATGCTTCCTGAACCTTCATCCTTGCCATTTCTACCCTGGGAGGCAGCCCATGTTGTGGAGGTGAGGTCCTGGGTTCCAGAAGCACAGGAGACAGGGGAGGGGGCATCAGCATCACCTTTGACCTATGGAGTTTCTTTACCTCCTCTGAGGTCCAGCCTGGGCTCCCAATGGCACTGGGTCCTATGGAACCTGGCAGCATTTTCAGCCCTGTATACCCGCTCCTGCCTGTCCCATTTGTCCTACTCCAGCTCACCTTCTTGTCACATTCGGTGTCCTCTCTATGGCATGCCAGCTTAGAGTAAATCTCACAGCTTGGACCACAAGGCATTGTACTTGATAGAGAGAGGACTGCGTGCAGAATTTAGAAAACCTTTTCTCCTGCAGCAGAGCCTGGCTTTCAAAGTGCTGTGGGCCCAGAGATCCTAGTCTGGCCTCGAGCTCACTTTCTCTTTGTGTCTTATTACAACCCTAATCCTCCCTGGGCCCTGGGTGCCTCTGGCAGGCTAGCAGGAAGGTCGCAGATGAGGAAAAGAATAAAAGCCATGTACAGTCCCACTTTCCTAAATGTATTATTCCATAACTTATGCAGATGTGCCCTGGGGGAGGTCCTGGTAGGGCAGGGTGAACGCGGGAGTGAATGGATGTGGCCTCCAGTGTAGCCTGAGGATCTCCTGGCACCTGGAGTAGAGGGCAAAGGAGCCCTGCCACTTCTTAGTGAGCGGCCAACACATGGGAGCAAGGCCTATGTCACAAAAGTATGAAGACTAGGAGATTAACCTCCTGGTTCCCTGCCCCTTACCACGGGGCACTCACCAAGATGCCCTTTGCCTTGCCCCTTCTTCAGTGGGTCTTAACGCCCATCTGGGCACAGAGACAGGTGTGTCCCTGCCTTCCCCTTCAGAGCGACTTTGGTGGGTGTGGTTCTGCCAGGGCACATGGACACTGTCCCCAGGTGTGCAGGGCAAAAAGGAATCCTCTCCCAGGTAGGTTTTTGATAGAAGGATGAAGAACCCCTGGCATATGGCTGGAGTCGGACATCTGAGCTCACTTCCCACCCCACCCCTGCCTCAGTTTCTCCACTGTGCCGTGGGTATCAAGCTGGAACCCAAGGGTGTGGGAGCAGTGGGTCTGGAGCGCACCACAGTTAAGATATCAAAAGCAATCTTTTTCTTGCTGTTTGCGAGGGTGGCTTGCATGAAGGTCAAGATAAAACCTGTTCGGGGGGTGGGGGGGGCGTGGAGAGAAGTGCGGAGTGTTTTGTTTGGCGCAGCCGGCTGGCCGTTGCCTCGGTAGCTGAGAACATCGGCTCTGGTCACGCTTGCCTCCTCTCCAATCCTATTACTCCATGCGGTTGGGCTCCGAAAATAGCCCCTGTCAGCCGCATCATCACAGTTCAGCGTTTCCACCACCACCGGCCACTTATTGTTCCTGGGACACAGTCATCGTTAACCCCTCCTCTGCCAGCCAGCTGGGCCACCTGCTCTGAGCCCACCTTTGGGGATATCGTTTTCTCTTCATCCCCCTTGACATCACCACAGGGAGATGTCAAGGAGCCGAGGCGGACTCTGTACCAGACACTGCATACATCGTTTCATTTTAACTCGCACCTTAAACTGCCCCTGCAATGCTTGCATTTCCATCCGCGTTTGGTGGAGTCGGAAAGCCAGGCTCAAGGAGGTGAAAGGACTTGTTCAAAGTCATCCAGCCATTGCATGCTTGAGCCCAGGTTTAGAGAGGGCTATGTGATTCCAAGACTGGGCTTTGTCACTGTGCCGACAAACACGGCTCTCTAGACTCAGCTAGAGTCCGCCCCACAGCCCTTTTGGTTAACACACCCTGGCCTGTAAGCCTAGGGGCCAGGGTGCTGGACACCCCATGATCACCTGAGGGATTGGAATACAGTGTAGATTGCAGGGCCCCACCCCAGACAACTTGACTCAGTAATCCCAGGGCATGGCCCAGGAATCTGTATTTTTAACAAGCACCACAAGCTCAGGAGTCTGATGATAAAGTACATTAGAGAACCGCAGTGGTCCTGAGGTTCTGCAGATCTCACAAGGAAGGAAGAAAATTAGCCTTTTTGGCGCCCGGCATGGTATCTAGCACAAGAACACACACCGATATATTCCTTTTCATAACGCACAAAAACTTCAGATGAGAAAATAGAGATTCCTTTCACCGCACCAGATCATCTCCCAAAAGAAACAGCCAACAGTTTTACAACAATGACCAGCCTGGAAAATGAATGAACATGTCACACAGGCCTGAGTGTGGAGTAGGCTCCCAAGAGGAAAGCAGCTAGGACAGAGGCTTTGAGCACAGGCTTTGGGACCAGGCAGACCCAAAGTTGTTGGGTGCTTGAATGAGATGGTGTGGGTCACAGGTTAGCACAGATATTGGCTGATGACAAAATCTGAAGCATGCGGAGGCCTCAATATGTGCAAGACTCTCCTAAGAATCTTCTATCTGTTAACTCATCCAGACTTGTAAGGCAGATTTTGCTATTATCCCCATTTTACAGGTGAGAAAACAGAGGTATGAGAAGTTACTTAGTATTGGAAGTAGGATTGGAAAGCAGGCATCTGGCTTCAGAGCTTTTGTCCAGTCATCATTAGACATGTTCTCCTGAGCACAGAGGAATCCTGGGATGATTGCTAGAGAGTCCTGGCCTGCCACTCCGACAGCCTGGTTCCTCTGCCTGTCCCCACCTGCCTGGGACTGGACCAAGAGCTCCTGGGAGCCAGTAAGGCACGCTGGCAGGAGGGAGGGGGCTGCCCCCTCTGGACTCTGGCTGAGTCCCTGGTTGTCAGGAGGCTCTCTCCACTTGGCTTTCTTACTGGGATCTGTAATATCTCCTGAATCTTTATCCCTTTAAGCCTAGAGGTGGGAACAGAGCCTTCATGGTGACCTACACCTTGACCTCCACTTTATAAATAGCTCCTTTCTTAAACTCTCAAGTCCTTCTACTTTGAGTGTGGACTCTGTTTCCCACTGTTACCCTGACTAGTACAGTAGCTAAAAATATATAAAACCAAACAAATAAAAAAGCCTTACATGAGTGGACCAGAGCTTGAGGCCTGAAGATGGGAAACTCCCTGCCCAAGACTGTCTGTGAGTTAGTGACCCACCTGGGCCTGGGCCTCCTGTCTCCTGTGTTGCTCTTTCCTCATTCCCTCAGATCCTGAGATCTTACCAGGGAGAAGAGGGGGTTCAGTCTGCCCTCAGGCAGGAGCCCCCAGGCCCCGGGCAGTGGGGTCTGGGCCCGGGGAGACCTGGGGATGAAGGCGGTATCCTCTCACTACAGGCCAGCTGTCCTACCCTGGCCAGAGGCTGACAGTCGGTGGAAGGACAGTCTTCATCGGACTTCAGAGGCTTCTGAAGGGAATCCCCACTTTGTCTCTGATCTTTCTGCCCACTGCACACCCCATATTCGGGGTGTGTCCCAGCTTTCCTTTCTGCTAACGGTCAGTGTGCTGGCCTGGGGCCCGGAATGTCTGTACCCCTTCTCTCTGTCACCTATGTGACAACAAAGCTCTCTACCCTGAAAACAGAGCCCAACATCCCTCTCAACTAGTACTGATCACTGCTTACTACGGTCACACTGAACATTCAAATGGCGTCTATTGAATGAATTGGCACTGCTGTATAAATGAGTTTCTCAGAGCTCTACCTGAGAAAATACCTTCATACAAGAAAGGGTGTGTTAGTCACACTCTCCATTAAAACTTGATCAAATATAAAAGGGTGTATATGAGCTCATTTCTGTTTTCTTCCATGTTGCCTTCTATTGCCAGAAGGCTCTCCCCAGGTGGTGAGAAAGATGACCACCCCCGGCTCCAGGCTGACTTCCCACCTGCCGAGAAACCCCTGGGGAAAGAGAGGTCCTTGTGCTTTAGCTCCTGTAGCCCCTGCGTTTCACTGGCCTGCCCAAGCGCACACTCCCGCACACTCTGTGGCCAAGGAAATGATTTAGCTTCAGACGTGCTTCCTCTTTTCCAATGAAGTCAGCACCCCCAAACAGGAAGCACCGAGAGGGGGAAGTATGGGCCCCGAAGGAGGATCAGGGCAGCGATGTCTGTGCCAGAGAAGGAAGAAAGCAGGAGACCTTTGGTGCCCTGGAGGAGGGAGAGACGGGCTTTAGGAAGCCAGGGAGAGAAACAGAGGCAACGTGCTTCACCGTTCTCCTATTTGACCTTCCGGACTGGGTGAGGGTCCCTTCTCCCTCATGGGGCCTTCTGTGACCTTCCCTCTTGTCTTCAAGATCAGGCTCTTGCAGCCTCTGTGCCCCTCTATCTTGGCACCTTGCATGGCACAGGGTTGGCTGTTCTTGAGCTGCTCTCCTCCACGAGATGGAAAGCAACTCCAGGCCAAGGGTGTGTATAAATTAGAGTACATAACAAACACTGCCCCCCAACCTGAACTTAGTAAAAGTTTATTTCTCTCTCACACATAACTCCACATGACAATCCTGATTGGTGGGTGGCCTTCCATGTAATCATTCAGAACCGTGGCGCCTTGGAGCAGCGCCTTCCATTAGACCTTTCTGAAATGTCCGTGCATATGTGGCTGGCGAACATTTGACATGTGACTAGTATGACTGAGGAACTGAATTTTTCATTTTATTTCATTTCAATCAATTTCAATTTAAATAGCCACATGTATCTAGTGGCTGCCATGTTGTCTGGGGCAGCCTTGGAGCTTTCCATGGGATCTTCTGATTCTAGCTGAAAAGGGAGTAAAGATTTTGAGATCATTTTCGGACAGGCCTGGAAAGTGGAATTTGTCTCTTTTGCCAATGTTCCATTGGCCAAAACTCATCACTTGAGCACGTCTAACCACAGTGGACGCTGGGAGCTGTAACCTTGTGGGAGACCCTGGAGATGGAAAAGTGAGTTCTGGCAAGAGTGTAGCCATCTTTGCCACACACTATACTGATTCACCTTTATGCTTCCCAGAGGTAGGCGGCTGGCATTCAGAAAAAGTTTTTTCTGAATGAATAGATGTGAACATGAGTAAGAGTATAAGTGTAAATATCAATATGGATGAAGCAGTGAAAATAAGAGTGATAGGGCGCACCCTGGGCAGATTTTTTCTCTGCCTCAGGTCATTGTGTGGCCCCACTGGCTGCTGGGAGCTCCTACTCACTAACCCCAAGTACTCCCTTCCATGACCCAAAATACAGGGCAAAATGCAAAACCTCAAACAGAGGCAAATAGCACTCATCTAAATAGCAAATATTGACCCTGCAAGGAGATAAGCAGAATACAAAGTGCAAGAGCACCAAGGCAAACTGGGCCAGGCCAAGCATGGGAGGCAGGTCTCAAAGCTCAGGCTTTGGGGTCAGGGACAGAGTGGGGGGGGATGCCTTTATTTGAACCCACATACAAACCAGCAACCAGCAAGGGGTTTGTAGGCTGCACTCGAGGAACCAGGGTCTCTGGCAGAAGGTGGGAGTGGCTACTGAAAAGATCCCAGGGACAGAGAAAGGGTGTAAAGGTCAGGGGCCCTGAATTCTCATGCTGGCTCTTCTCTAACTGGCTGTGGGAACGCTAACTAAAGTACCGTCCCTGTAGCCTGGACAAGGAGTGGTCAGGACATAGAATTTTTAAGGCCCCTTCAGCCCAACAGACCTGAGATTGACTCGTCCCTACCCCAACAGCTGCACAGACCTCAGCAAGGCCTTTGACCTCAGTTTACCCAACTATGAAATGAGAGACATGCTGCTCACCTGGACTGTGTGAGAAAGCAGTAGAGAGGCCTGGACTAATTTAATGGTCAAAGTAACAAGAGACAGATGACCCACCGTTGTCACTGACCCTCAGCCTGGAGGACCCGGGTCCGTGGAAGTGATGGAGTCATACAAGATTTGTCTCCCTCAAGGAGACTGGGAGCTCCTTGAGCAAAGAGGTCATGTCCAGTGGTGAGCCAGTTCTGGGAAGTGGTGGTGCTGGTGGGGCAGGGGAACCTGACTTGTAGTATTCATCAATTTCTTTGGGGGGGTTACCCCCACCATGGCCAATTTCAAGCCACTATAATGTCACTGAACACGGAGCTGGAAAGAGATGTACACAGGAGCAACAGGCTGGGAGCTGTCCCAGGGTTGTCCCCATAGGCGGCCTTGAGTGGGGCCACCCCTCTGTTAAGGTCACACACAGTGTAAATGCATTGGAGCTCCCAGGCCAGGCCGAGGCATCCCCTGGACCTGCCTAGCAGCCGACCTCAGCTGATCCGCACCCCTCTGCACTGTTGCTGAGACAGTAAGCCTCAGCTGGCTTCAGGGAGGCCTCTGGTAGGGAGCTCGGGCAGGGTTCTGCGTGGCATCAACTATGGGTGGGCTGGTCTAGAGGGTCCAACACAACTTCACGGGCATGCTGGCATACTTTGGGGAATGCTCAGGCTTTCTTCTGGGTGACTGGTCCTTGGACTTCTTCTGTGGCTTCTTCTACAGAGGGAACAGCCCAAGAGAAGCAGGGTATGCTGTGTGGTCTTCTCTGACACAGGCTCAGAACTCAGGTGGTGCTACTTCTGGCTCCAAATTCAAAGGGAAGGGGAATTCAACTTTACCTTTTGGGAGGGGGTGCAAGGACCCAGTGCAGAAGAGCATGTGGAGTGGGATATACAACTGTAGCCTTCTGTGACCATCGAAAGGAGACGCTACATCCAAGCTTTCCCCCCAGTTCACTGCATTTGGGGCAGCCTAGGGAAGGGTAGGCTTAGAGGGCCTGATTCGGAAAGCATTAAAGAAAACATCGGATTATGACTTTCCGAAAATATGATAGTTAAGAATATTTGAGCAATTATTGTGTGCCAGGTGGAACTGTCCTAGAAGTACAGATGAGTTATCTCATTTCTTTTCTTACAATAACTGTACAGGGTATGGACTGTTATTCTCCCCATTTTATAGATGAGGAAATTGAAGCATGCAGCAGTTAGACAGTAGTCTCAGTACCTTTCCTGGAAGAAGCACAGGCAGGATTCAGACCCTGGCATCAGGACCCAGAGTCCAGCTGAGCCCATAACCATTAGCTCTTGAGTTTCTTTCCTGGTAAAACCATGGAAGGAGAAGCCAGCTAGCCTCCAATGTCACCAGACTGACCGCAGGCTTGCCACTTACTAGCTGTGTCACTACATCCCTGAGACTTTCTCAGACTCAGCTTCCTTGCCCATAAAATGGGATAATAGTGTCCACACCCTGGGCTTGCCAGGGGATAACTTGGAATCATTTGTTCCAGGTGCCAGGCAGCAGGTTGGTATTAAACAGACATTAAGTTCCTTTCCTTTTCCCCCTCAGGAAGGAAACTTGAAGACAATGCACATAACAAAATACTATTGTTCCTCAAGAGGGTCGAGACATTGGAATTCCAGTGATGCTGTGATTAAAACCAATGGTGAACCCACTAGAAAAGGTAAAAGGGGTGATAATTGTAGCTAATGCTTACCAATGAGTACCTATGAGTGCCTACAGTGTGCCAGGTTTCCTACTAGATGCTTTATATCCTGAGCCTCCCAACAAAGCTGCAACGTGCAATAAAGGAGTCTGAGTTTGAGAGGTTTTAAGATTGGACCCAAGTCCCATAGCAGTAACTATAGAAGAGAAATTTGAATCTGGCACCCTCTCATTCCCTGTATCCCTTCTGTCTTGCCATGGTTCCCTAGAGGTGCTGCTGAAATTCAGAAGCTGAGTACACCTAGGAAAAGCAGATTGGGAGTCATCTCTGGTAAGGGAAATGACAGCCTGACACTAATGAGTTCTTGCCTTGTGGCCAGGTGGTATCAGATCTAAGCTCCTCGTGGAGCCTACAAGCCCCTGCCTGCTCTGGGTCCCCATGACCTCTCAGATCCCATCTTCTCCCACACTACCCCTGTCCGTGTCCATGCTGCTCTTGCCAGTCACATTCCTGCCTCAGGGCCTTTGCACTTGCTATTCCCACCGCTTGGAACACTCTATGTGGACCTGGGTGTGGCTTGCCCTTTACCTCGTTTAAGTCTCTACTCAAAAGTCACCTCCTCAGGGAGGCCTTTTCTGACCCCTCTATCTTTATACCTACCCCACTCTCTGTCCCCTTAACTTGCCTTTGTTGTTGTTGGGGTTTTTACGTTTATTTGTTTGTTTGTTTGCCAGCTAGCACTCAGCACTACCTGACACATATATATTTATTGTCTGTCTTCCCCACAGCAGTGTCAGCACAGGAGGGTAGGGGCTTCATCTACACTGGTCACTGCTATATTCCTGGGGCCTATACTACTGCCTGCACATAGTGAGTGCTCAATAAATAGTTACAGAAACCAAGAAAGGCCTGATTAGCAAGACAAAGGGCACTGCAGGGGGCTGGGAAGCTTGTGACTTAATAGTCACCGGGAAGGAGACTCTACTAGGCTCTTGTTTTTGTTTTTAATCAGAGCTTCATTGGCCTGTGTGGAAGAACGGCCACATCCTCGCCCACTGATTTCCAGGATTTTCAGAAGCTCTTTCCTAACAAGGGAAATGCTGCTCTTTAGCTGCGCATGACCACATTACAGGTGGTGCCCCAGAAAGAGGGGGTGATGGTAGTGGTGGTAATATTTTGATAGGAGACACCAAAGGCCACTAACCTCCAAGACCCAAGTGCAGGGCTACTTATAGGCTTGTGACCTGTGCAGTGGTACGAGGCCCACACTCAGAAGGGCTCTGTGCACAGGAGGGCTCTGTGCTTAGTTGAATGCTGTTGTTGCTGCCATCTTGCAATTCCTAACTTTTTAACAAGAGGACCGTGTTTACATTTGCAATGGGCTCTGCAAATTATGTAGTCTTTCCTCCCCAGAGAACTGATCAATGGTGGAGCTGGAGGCTTATAGATGTCGATTATTTGTGGAAAGAGGTCCTTGTGGTTGCTTCTCACCCACACCACCAAGGCCACCATTTGCTTCACCAGTTATATTCACTGGGCACCTATGTATGCCAGGCACTGTGTTAGGTGCTGGAGAAGCAGAGTGAAAGAGCCTTGGCACCTGTCCCAGGAGCTGCGAGTTAAGAGGACAGACAGGCAGATGAAGAGAGAGATGACACTCAATGGAATTGTCATAGATAAGCATGATATCGGGGGTTGGAGGGCAGTAGATGGGGGGAGGGGGTTGTTACTTTGTGAGGGGTGAAAAGGATAACTATTGCATTGTTCTGTACACCTGAAACTAACAACAAAATTTAAAAAAATAAAATAAAATAAATCTCATCTGTTAAAAAAAAAGAGAGAGAGAGAGGTGACACTGAGCTTGTGGGGGCAGTCTGAGGGCAGAGTGAATAGCAATGTAGGCCGTAAGGGACCAGGTGCTGTTGGGACCATCGAGTTGGGATCAACCCAGGCAATCTGGCCCCCAGACCCGCGCCCTCACCCTCCTCACTAAAGCCTCTGCAGAGGGGGGCGGGAGGGCAGCAAAGGTGGGGGGACAGCAAAGCAACATAGTTGGTCCTGAAGCCACCAGATCTGGACTTGGCTGGGGCCTGGGTGCCCAGGAGAAGCTGGAGCCAAGGATGTTGCCTGCTTGACAGCTGTTTTGTGAGTAAAAGGAGCCCTGGTAGGGGTTAGACAGAGGGTGCCATAGGGTCACTGCTTGTTGGAGAGTCTTCCTGCAGCCACTACAGCACGTGGGGGAACAGAAAGCAAAGTCCGGGAGCAAGGAAAGTAAGAATTCCTTTAAAAAGATCGTTTTCTGCTCTCCATTCCTCAAATCTACTTTCATTTATGGAGCCATGACTATAGCCAGTAATATACATGTATCTCTTTCAGTCCTTACAACCAGCTAGGGATTTGCTATTAACCCCATGTTTCAAGGAAGGAAAAAGGAGTAAGGGGTGAGGGTAGGGGGAAGGCCACTTGCTCAAAGTCACACAATCACAGGGACACAGGGGAGAGGGCATCTGGGGGCCCAGGCTGGGAGGTCCCTGACGTCCTCTGAAGCCAAGGACGCCCCAGCAAGGGGAGAGGCTCAGGCAAGCCTCCTCTCTGGTAGTGTTTGAATGGAGCGGGCAGCCTGTGCCCAAGGCCTGCGAGGAGCAGGGCGCCTGGCAGGCTTCAGAGGGGCACTGGTTCGGCAGGAAAAGAGCCTGCAGTTCCTGGGCTGCTCAACATCTGCGCGCTGGGGGCTCAAGGCGTCCCACGGTGTCGCCGCGCTTCCGCCCCTCGGGCTGTGCCGAGCGGATGCGCGCTGACTGCGTGTGAACAGGGCTTGTTTTCCCTTCACGCCCTCGGGCTCCGTTTTTATGAAGAACTTCCTTCTGTTGGCGCTTTGGGAATATTCATTCCTGGCTTGCGCAGCACGCGGTTGACAGTTGGGCTGGGAAATGTACCCGCGGTTTAATTAGGGCATCGCTAAGCTGTGCCAAGAAGCTGCTCCTCCCTTCCCTGCTGTCTCTCTACCTGGGACACCGCCCCACCCCCAGCCTGCCCCGCTGTGAGGGGCTCCGTCGCTGCGCTGAGCAGTGAGCACCAGCGCTGCTCCCGTTGCTGGCCCAGCGACCTCGTGTCCCCAGCCTGCCCTCCGCCCTCTCATCCTTCACAGGAACCTGTCCCTGCCAAGGCAGGCTCTTATTGTCCTCCAAATAGTCCGTCTTCTCACCAACTGTTGTTCTTACATTGTTGCTCCAACTGGAATACACTGCGCTCTCCTCTTGGCATAGATCGCTTCTGCCTCCAGACCCCTCCAAATTCTCCCTACTCACCCCTCCCTTCACTCACCCACCCGCTGAAGGGTCCTTTCCTGCCGTGGGACGTCCTAGGCTACCAGCTGCTCTGCCCCACCCACCCCGGGCAGATGCAAGGTGATGGACACCTGGTCTGAGTTTCCTTCACCCTCAACAGCCCCTCAGGAGGGGCTCACATGTAGATTTCACCCTGTTATTGAGGAAGCTGCAGGTAACATTAACTAGAAGCCTGGCAGAGATGAATACGGACCACACCCATCAGCCTCTATGGCTCAGAGCAGGGTGAGGGGAGACCTCACACCCCTAAAGCCCAGGAGAATACTGCAGAAGGCTGACTGGATTGACAGTAAATGTCAAGCCAAAAAATAAATATTGAAAATTCGACTGCATATTATGTTAAAATCCCACTATAAAAAAAACTGGAAAAAAATATTTGCAACACATATGGCAAAGGGTGAGTTTCCTTAAATGCTAAAGCACTCCTACAGTAAGTGGAAAATCAACAACCCAAGGGAAACCGAGCAAATAGCAACAGGCCATTCACGGAAAGGAGACACAAATGGCTTCTTAAGAAATGAGAAGATAGATGCACAGTCTTACTCATCATGACAGAACCGTGGTGGCAACAAATGACATCTTGGTTTAAATTGGATAAACAGCATGATGTGTGGCCTGGTGGGAGAAAGAGGCTAAAGGGAAGGGCTGTGCTGGGCTCCACTGGAGTGCAAGGCCGGCCCGGCGTGATTTCAGGAGATAGCTGGTGTGTTTGGTGAGTTCCACAGGTTGCGCAGTAGTGAAGCCTGGGGTGGGTCTTTGGTCAGACTCTGTGCAAATCTCTGCTCCACCACTTCCCAGCTGCATGACTGCAGGTAGCTTACTTATATTCACTGAGCCTCCGTGTTCTCATCTGTAAACTGAGGTTATGATGTGCTTCCAGGGATGATTAAGATGTGGTCAGGGGAGGTGAAGAACTGGAGTAAAACAAAGGCTAAGGGAGGGGGACCCGGGGGAAGGAAGGGAGGGGCCACTGTGGGGGAGGGGAGGGACATGCAAGGGTGGGAAATGCATCCTTGGAGTTGAGACAATTCAATTACCTGTGAAGCAGGCATAGTGGGGGCGGACCTGCTGAGGGAAAGAGGTGAAGAGAGAGTTGCCCTTGGAGACCACACTTTCAAGGTTATTTGGTGGTGAAGGAAAGGAGAGAGATTGAAGAAGGGGTAGGGTACAGATGCAGAAGGTGGTTAGTTTGGGGGAGCTAAGAATACCTGTAGGCTGTGAAAATGTCTCTGGCTCCCAAGGCCCCTCTCCTAGCAGCATCTCAAAGTCGGCTCACAACTGATTCTTCTGAATGGCCATTTTTATATGACCCAATCTAGCAGAAGTCCAGTTTATGCTTGTAGGGCTGGGACACACCGAAAGCCCAACAGAGAAATGGGCCAGAACCCAGCTTTCCAGGAATTAGATGGAGGTAATGGCATTTGACCCAGAGCTGCAAGGACAGCAAAGCCAGAGAAACAGTCTGAACTGCATGTGAAGAAGGAAGTGAAAACGCTAGCCTAAGAGAGCCCACCTCCATGGACAACCAGCCAGGTTAACAAGAAAATAGATCCCAGGGCCACAGCTGGGAGTGGAACTTATGCTCATGGAATGGTGCCTGACACACAAGGGGCACTCAACAAACATTTCTCTAATGCATAACCTGAAAGGAAGCTTGGAAGACTTGTTAAAACAAGTAGTTCAAGTTTGAGCCCATGAGTACAACGAGGATGCAAGGACAAGGTGGCTGTGAGTCCAGATGCTGGGCTGGCAGCACAAGTGTGATGGAAATGTCATCTGCAGGTCTCAGCATGGACCAAGGTGGGCCCTGTGGTCCCACCCTTGCAACTCCAGAGAGGGCATGCAGTAAGCAGCCCTGTGCTCCCCCACAGAAAGGTGTCATCTCGGAGGGAAGAAGATGCCTTGCTGGGGCCCAGCAGCTGAACTCAGGCTCCCTGGATTCTGCAGGGCAGCTTTCCTCAGTGCTTTGGGCTATCTGACTTCCATGGAGCAGGAAACCCTGCTACCCTTGGGCAGAGAAAAGAAAGGTCATTAGGGCTCCAGGGCTCACAGATTCCAAGGTGTGTGAGGGTGTTGAGTGGGGGATGACGGAGAAATGAGCACAGCTTTGAGGACCTCAGAAACAGCCATATTCAGACTGCACACTAACATCCCCTCAATATCTGCCTCAGTTCCCCAGATTCCTGGGCTTCCCTGTGCAGGCTTAGGCCAGATCTACAGAAGTATTTGACTGATTCCTGGCCAGCCAATGGGTGGCTTCCTTTAAACCCACTCCTGGTCCAATCAGCTCCAAGCTGGGCTTGTGGAGGGCATGTCACATTGGAAGAGGAAACAGGACAGGGTAAGCAAATCAGCTACCATCTGGCTTATCCCAAGTGACTTGTGAGATAGAAGAGTAGTCCCTGGAAGTGAAATCAGCTGACCTGGGCTCCATCCATCCCTAACTAGCTCTATGAAACAGTGCATTCTCTCTTTGAGCCTCAGTTTCCTAAATTGCGAAATAGTTAGAATAATATGTTTGTCACAGGGTTGTTGTGAGGAGAAAATGAGATAATAAATAGGAGAGTGTTTTGTAAACCGTAAAGCTAGAGGCGACTTGTTTAGTTTTACTCCCAATGAAGTGTATGTTCTTGAGTTTTACTTTGCAATAAACCTTTGTCCAGCCTCCCGGCTGATGCTGGGCACGGGTCAGATCTTACACCTGCATCCACAGCCTGTGAGAGAACACGCATACACACCTTTCTGCGGAATGCATCCAGCTGGGCTATCTTAGCTCCAGTTGCAGCTCTGCTTAGGCCATCTGGGTCTCAGTTTCTCCTTCTGAAAAATGGTTCCACATGACCGCCTTGCCCTATTCACATACAGCTGGAGGATTAAATAATCTCCCCTTCTCTCTGCTTGCCTTCTTTCCTCCTGTTTCCTCTTCCCACTCCTCTTCTCTGGGGCTTCCATGGATGGCAGCTGCTGAGAAGGAAGGAGCCCTTCAACAAGCCCTGCCTCTTCCGAAGTCCTCTAACCCCCTGGCCATCTGCTCCTGCCGCCCAAGCCAGGGAAGAGCACAGTTTGTATTCCCCTTTAAATGTTTCAAGTGTGTCAGTAACATTTTCACAACTGGCTTATAATCTTTAGAGGTTGTCTTTAAACTCTTTTGTGAAAATCACAACTATTCTGTCTGCATGATCAGAATGGGCATCTAGCAAACGTTTGCTGGAGGAAACGGGACTGAGCAGCTTCATGACTCGCGCTGGCCCCTTCTCTTGCTACTCCCAGTCTCTTGACCTCCACATGTTCCTCACCATTCCTACAGCTTCCATTTCCCCTACTTTGCAATCTTGGGACAAAATTCTCCCATTCAGAGGGCTGGCCAAACTCACTTCCTCCTGGACCCTTTCCCTCGGGTCCCTGGGATCCTGGGACCCAAGCAAGGAGGGGCTGCCTCTCCTGAGCTCTCACCCAACCCTGCAGGTCTGGGTGTCATCTCTTGCAACAGCTGACAGTGACACCTCCACTACTCTGGTGTCACTTTTAACACTGCACGTTCACACCACTAGCTGACTGTCTGTGTAAGGAGGCCGCAGCACAGCCTCGTGCAGCCACACCCCACATGTGGAGTTGTTAATCCGGCAGTTGTTCAGCAGGTTCTCTTGGCCTCACCTCCAAACGTGTTACTTCTGCAGGGAACGACACCATGGAACTGCACAAGCTCTCCCAAGAAGGAATGACAGGACCTTCCTGTCCTGCATCAGCCAGGAGGGATGGGGGAGGCGTTTCGGAGCCATGGCATGCAAAGATCTGGCGCCTGGACCGACACACACACAGTTCCCTAAATTAGAAGAAGAAGAGGAAGAAGAGAAAAGGGAAGAGAGAAATCGTGTCACCATGCCACTTAAAGTCTCTTATTGAATCTGCATGTTTACCACAGTTTTCAAAGAATATTTGATGATGTAATGGTAAGAGAAAAAGGCAGCAGGCAAAACCTAAATGCAAGGAGATCTCAATTCCGTAATGTGTGGGGTAGACATCACCACTGTTCACCTCTATGCAGCACCCCACCACTTCCAGGCACTTGGGAGGATTTCACTTCCTTACCCCTTGAGATAAGGTATGGCCATGTGACTTGCTGTGGCCAGTGAAATGTGAGGGAAGTAACCAGGTCACTGTTGGGTGGTAGTGTTTGATTTCTGGCATTCCCCTCCCCAGCCCACTCTTGTCCTGCCTCAGCAGCCATTGGAGCATGGTTGGTATAGAAGGTCCAGAAGATCGAAGAAGCCACCATGTGGGGAAGAGCACCCCTGATTGTTACCTGGACTCACATGATCTGGGTACAAACAGAAACAACCCTTTTTGCTGTTAAACCACCAAGATTTTGGTATGGTTTTCTCTGCATCATGACCTACCCTATATTGACTGATATAATAAATACATAATATAGATGCAAAAAAACAAAAATCATCAGGAAACATTGCAGTTACTGGTGATGTTGTTTTTAAATTTTCTAAATTTTTCAAATTTTCTGTAGTCAGCATGTCTTTGTGAGTTTTTCCATCTGGTTTTATTGAGATATAATTGACATACAGCATTGTGTAAATTTAAGGAGTACTTATTTTTATGACTTAAAAAAGTGGTTAGCCTTAAGCATAGCTAGCTTTTTAAGTAAATAAATGTGTCCTTGGTACTATGCTAGTGACCTTAGCATAGTACCTTCATTTCATTTCATTCTCACGAAACCCTAAAAGGGTTTTCCCATTTTAAAAAGGAGAAATCTGAGGATTCAAGGGATAGGCACCAGGTAATCTACACTCATTATCTCATTTATCTCTTCAGAAGTGTGAAGTACTTTATTCCAGTTTTAAAGAAGAGGCTCAGAGAAGTTAACTGAGTTGCCCATGGTTAATCACTTAGGAATTGAAGGAAAGTAACATTGAAATAACAATAATCACAATAGTAGATACCTTTTATTGGAGGCTTCTGTGTGCTGGCCCAGGTATGATCTCATTTTATCCTCTCAGGAATTCTATGATGTAGGTATTTGTATTATCTCAATTTTCTAGATAACAAAATGGAGGCTCAGAGAGACTGAGCAACTTGGCCTATGGTCACACAGCTAGTGATTTGCAGAACCAGGACTAGCACGTTGGTCTGTACAAACTTAGATAAGAGCAGAGGTAGTACAAAAGGTGCCGTTAGTTAGTACACGCATGAACATTTTAAACCTAAATTTCTATTTTTATTAAAATATTTATGCAGAAAAATTTTAAAGTTTACGGGTACCAGGAAACTGGTACTGATCATGAAAAGCAGCAGCCTGCCTCTCCTTTCACCATCCAGCCTCCCCTCCGCAGAGGCAACTGCTCTCAACTCTTTTAGCTATTCCTTCTGACATTTACTTTTTTTTTTTTTAAGATTTTATTGGGTGGGGGGATGGGAACAGTGCTGGGGAATTGGGGGAAGGGGAACAGACAAGTTGCTGTCCTTTTGTTCTTCAGTCTAGTTGTGGAGGACGTTGCTTCACTGGCCCAAGTTGGCACCATCATTGCGCTCTTCCTGGGCGAGGCAGATCAGTCGCCGGCTTCTGGACGGCCACTCACGCTGGCTGCTGGCTGCTGGCTACACACAGTAGCCCATGGCAACCCACTGCAGCAGGGGACTGCAGCCCACGCCATCGCCGGCGACTCACGGCAGCCCAGCTCCAGGTTGAGCTGTTGTTCAGCATCTTAGCTGTGGAGGGCAGTGTCACTGGCCCTCATACGTGGGATCCGAACCGGGGCCCTCTGGCGTCCTAAGCCAGTTCTTAACCATCGCGCCACTCGGCCGGCCCTGACATTTACTTTTATATTTCTAAATACCATTCTTTACCATTATTTTTTAGATATTATTTATTGGCTTCTTCTTGTAGAAGATTCTGATGCTCCACCAGACACCACACACAAACCCACACTTTTCCTTTCAATATAGTTCTATCACAGTTGCTAAATCAATACCCAGTTTTTACATTATCATACCTACATATATAGTATTCACAGATAAACAAAATACTATATTATGGTTATAGTTGCTGTCTTCTACACTTCTCTGTCCCCCTCCCCTCGGAGTTAGTAATCACCCCAGTTTTCATTTAATTAGTTTTTGACATAACATCATTAACTCTTCCTACAAACATGTCTAAAGTTCTAGCAATATATTTCAAACACATCTGGGAACCTATCAGTTCTATTTTCCCCTTGAAGCCCTCTGTCCTCCTGCTGCTACCTGGACTAGTTGATCTCCTAGCTGTCTGTATAGAAGTCCTGAAATTTCTCTTCATCAATATCCTAAGAATTCCCTTTACCTCTCTCCTGTGCTGGGTCCTTGTTTCTTAGATCATAAGCCATATTCTTTCTTCGTTTACTCCCTTCATTCGTTGTAATATGCATGCCAGTAGCTTCCTTGGAAACTGCATATGGGAGTTCAGTTTTTGGATAATTGATTGACAGTTTGGCTGGATGCATAAATCTTGGTTGGAAATCATCTTCCCCCAGAATTCTGAAGGCAGTTCTCTACAACCACATGTTCTAGGTTGATGTTAAGAAGTTTAATACCATTCTGGTTCTTGATGCTCATTATGTGTCTTTCAGTCTCTGAAAGCTTCTAGGATCTTCCTTTATCTCTGTGTTCTACAAAAATTATGTAATAAAATTCAATATTTATTCTGATTTTTAAAAAGCTTTAAATAAGTTAGACTAGGTAGATAATGCCATAAATTGACATTTATATATTTTAACCTGGAACTAGGGGGGAGATACTAGAAATACTGCCATCACGCCACCACTCCTCTAGAGTCCCAGCCAATGCAATGGAAGAGGGTATTGTCACTGTTTGTAGATTATTTGACTATTTAGCTGAAAGCCAACAAGAATCAATTGAAAAACGTATTGAAAATGACAAAATAATTGAGTAAGGTAATTGAATACAAAATTAGTATTCTACTATCATAGCCTTGAAACATACAGAAAACAACCAGTACTAAACGACAATAAATGAAAGACTCCATTTGCAAAAACAACCTAGAAACAAACTTTTAAAAAATGTGCAAAATCTATGAAGGAAACTTTCTGAATGCTACTGAAGGATACAAATGTGAACTTATAGCACATTCTTGGATTAAAAAGTTCAACATTACAAGGATATCAGTTCTCCCTAAATTAATCTACACATCAACACAATCACACTGAAAATACCAACAGGATTTCTCATGGAACTACGCCAGACAAGTTAATGCTAAATTTGATATGGAAAGACACACAAGTACAATTATCCAGGAAAAGTATGAAAAAGAAATGTAAAGAGCAGCAAAACATGACCCCATCAGATATTTCCATGTATTTTAAATCTATTATACAGCCAAATAAATAAAACTTTGGTACAAGTACATGAACAGATAATTTAGAAATTATAGTCGCCCAATATATATAGGTAGTTACTGTATGATCAAGATGGCATTTTAAAAACAGGATTTATCCATATTCAGTATTGGGACACTTGGCTACCCATCTGTAAAAGAAATTAACTTAGATCTTCACTTCACATGTTACACCAAAATAAATTCCACATGAATCAAGGGATCCTTAAATCCTTAAAGTACCAGAGAAACACAGGGGATACGGGAACAATCATCCACTGAGCCTCTACTCTAGCTTAATGCCTGGCAACCGTGAGCAGAGTCAACCTGGGGGTTGTAGACTGAATAATGGATTGACTGTCAGGTTCTGTAGATGCCATGTTACCTGGCTACCACTAGGAAGACCTGGCCTAGATTTGCTACACGTAATTTGTTTGGTTCTACCAGTGTTAAACATTTTTGGTTTTGATCTAATATTTTAAAACTGGAAGATTTCACATAAAAATCTGGATTTCAGACTTCCTCTGGAATGTCGAAATGTCTGGGCCCTCATTCCTACATGGAACAATCAAATGGGATACTGCCCTTAGCTTTGAGGATGGGGCAACGTGAGCTCCACAGGACTCAGTGACCAGAGCAAGTGAAGAAAAGTGCTGGCAGGTGAGCCCAGAGCCCTGTCATAGGGGTGAGGGGATGAGGCTGTAGCTAAGGGGTTGGGAGGCTAGGTTTGTTGGGAGGCTAGGTTTGACAACCCACTTCGCCAGGGCTGGGTATCCGGGGAATATAAAGGCTGCCATCTCTGAAGGCTCAGGTGCTGCGTCTGGTCCTATCGCCCAGGTCTCATGCTCACCCTCTCCCTCGGTTGCTTTGGGGCGCATTTGTGCAGATGGGGAAGCAGGGGGGAGCGCAGGAGCTTTGCCTGCACTGAATGCCCGGCATCCGGACGAAGGCCGCTTTGTACCCGGTCCAGAGTTGGTAGGGCCCGTGTCCCCCGCGCCCCCTGCCTCCCCCGCAACCCCCACCCGGCTCTTGGCCCTGAGGGGGCGCCCGCCACTTCGCTGCCGCAGCCGCCGCGAAAGCCTGGGAGCCAGAGGGCCTCTTAATTGTTCCCAGACGGGTGGCGTTTAGATCAATTAATATGCAAAACAGGAGTAAATCATCTCATTCGGGGGCTCCACGCGGGGCGGGAGCCGAGGCATTTGCTATGCAGTGAGGTTGCGGCCCCCGCCGCGTGTTTATCTGGGGAAATGGAAATCAGGCAGCAAACAAAGCCGCCCCGCGGCCAGGCCGCGCCCTCGGCTGCCCTGGGCTGGGTCACCGGCGCCGGTCTCGACCTGACAACGGCGCTGCGCAGACCCGCGTGGTAGGCTTGGGGTCAGCTCTGGCCCCGGAGCCAGAGGCTGTGCACCTTGGGGCCACGTATGGCGCTACTTTGGGCCGCCATACCCAGTTAGTAGTAATAAAGAGTTCATTATTACATAAATCAGGTAAACGGAGAATAAGACTCTTTAAGTGCTTCGGATCCGAGCTTACATGCTCATGACCCATAATTATGCTATTGAGCCTTGAATAAGGCTAAAAATCTCATTTCCAATACTGCATTTAATCCTTGAAATCACACTAACAAGCACTAATAAGTCCAGTTATTCCCATTGTACAGTTGAAGATATTGAGGCAGAGAGGTGAAGACATTCACAGGGGTAACCAGGCCTGGCCCTGACCCAGCACTTAACCACTGGTATAGGTCGTAGGCCTTTGTTATTTAATCAGGCAGGCCCCTTCTACAGGGGAAAATTGCCTCTACAGGCAGTTCTGTTAGCTTAGGTAGAGTTACAGTCCTTACTCATTCTTCCTGCATTCAAGAAACTTAATTGGATGCCTACTCTGTACCTACACTCTTCTAGACTCTGGGGGTTCCGGAACAAAACAGAAAATGCGCAGCCCTGGTGGGAGACATGTAGTGAGAGGACCTTGAGGAGAAAAGAGCAGGATGAAGAAAGGGTGGGAAG